GGCCCAACTTTTTTTCATATATAATAGACATGAGCTTACATTTCATTTACTGTGATGATACATATGAGAAACCTAGTCAAATTTAAGGCCCTGCAATCAGATCCTTTGATGCCTGTCTTTTAGAGTTTGAAAAAATAAAGAAAAAAAAATTTAAACCACCACGATGCACTCAAACTCACTCATTTTTCACAGACACTTTTCTTTATAAGGGTTACATTAGGATAGTTATAGCTATATAGTATTATTTTTATTATCTGTATGCATACATAGCAAAATATTTGTTACACAGCAACAAACTTAGATATTAACATCATATCTCCTTTTCTGTACTTCCTCCGAGAGAGTTAAAAAGGTGGAAGGACTTATTAAGGCACTACTTCTGAAATGTGATTGAGGCTGTTTCATTATCATGTAAGAAAATTCTAATCTTAATGTATCCTGTGGTGCAGAATACACACACACACACACATATATATATATCTCAACAAATTATAAGTTAAATTGAAGGATGATTATAGGTTTCTATGTTACAGCTAAAAACAATCATAACACTGACAAAAAGTCATCTGCTTTTTAAAAATAATTAATACATGTCATTTTAGAATAGTTTTAGGATTGTGGAAAAATTGAGTGGCAAGTGTAGAATTCTCATTTATCACTTCTTCCTCCTGCACAATTTCCCTTATTAGTAACATCGCCCATTAGTGTTGTGCCATTTGTCTTGATGAACAAATATTGATAATTATAAGTAAGTCCATCGTTTAGGGTTCCTTCTTTCTGTTGTACATTCTGTGGGTTTGACAAACGTATGAGATATATCTGAAGCAGCCTCGTTATCTGGGGTAAATACCAAGACCTTAGTCTCATGGCTCAAGGAGATCAAGGTCTCGGACACACACAGACAGAGTGAGTTTGGAGCAGGAGTTTAACAGGCAAAAGGAAAGAACAGGTCTCTGTTACAGAGAGGGATCGTAAGCAGATTGCCAAGTTGTAGTAAAAATGTCAGAGATTTTATAAATGGGCTTGTGAGGCGGGCGGGGAGGGAAGCTGGTGAGGAGGGGGCTTGTGAGGAGGGGATGTCTTG